TCTCTAATGTAATTATATCCTTTCTGTAATGATGTGACCAGAAGCGCGCAGAGTACTCAAGTGGTAGTCTAACTATTGTTTCATATTTCTCCCATACCCCTAACTTTTATATTCCATGCCTAACTTTATAAAGGAAAGTACATTGTATCCTTTCTTCACCAGCCTGTTCCAGTCACAGCTGATGTTATTACCAGATAAATCAGACCCCAGACAAGAACCCAGCTTGACAGATTGTAATTTAATTTGCTCTGGTTTTAACAAAGTGGTCACTCACTGAAACACAAGTATGCAATGCTGCAGATTTTGCCTTAACAATAAAACAGAAGGTTATTAAACAAAAGAAATGAAGATAAAATAGAACAAAACCAAGCCACATTTTTGTAATACAAATTCAATGGTTTTAGATGCACACTAATTCCAAAACACTCCTTCATAAATTGAAAACAAATAGCTTTTGTATAATATCCCAAATACCATCCACAGAATACTCCAAATCACTGATCCCACAGCATTCCTTTCTCCCTCATAAGTTCCACAAATGTCTAATAAGGTTTCTGTCTTGTGGTCCCAAATTTCAACTAAAAGCTTCAGGTGCAAGTTTGTAAGCATTGGGTATTGCCTCTTTGACAGAGTCACCCTCCTGCAGATCGTTCTTTCAACAAGCTGACGTGCATGGTCATAGCTGTAGCTGTCAAAACATTCAAAACCATTAAGGTCCAAACTTTCTTGGTCACTTAAAGAAAAAAGAGATGGAAAGGAGAGGGAGAAAAAGAATATAGACTGCCTCAAGCAGACGGACTACATACTGTGCCAACACTGACATTGCAGACGACGAGCAGCGTCAGCAGTGACTCCTGGCTCATAGGCCTGGTGAGTGTCGGCTATCGTGATGGTGGAGTACAGACTCCTGGCTGTGGTAGGCCCAGAACATGGACTCTTTCAGCAGTGGTAGATTGACTGTGGAGGTGTCAAGGTCCACAGCGAGGGCTCCAGGTTGCGGTAGGCCCAGAGAAGATGAACTCTATTTAAGTATCTTTTTTTTATTCTTCTGTACCTCAAAATGGCATCAGATTGTGGCAACAGAACACTTTTCACTGTATCTCCCCAGATATTTGTGACAATAAAACATACATGCATCCAAATCATTTATTTGTCAGTCTAGCCATCATCTGAAATGAGGTAAAATACATTCTGACTTCATCCTCATTAAAATTAGGCACTAAGCTGTTTTGAAAATATTCTATCATTCACATTTCCTCCAGGCACACCCTTTTATTCCTACAATGTCCATTACCACTCCTTTTCGCCTTGAACCATCGATTCTCTTGTTGTTTTAATAATCTCTCTTCCACTCAATCATCAGACCTTCCCTTTTGATCACTTTCCCACATGTCCTTCTTTCACTCGCTTTAAACCTGTGATCTCCAATTTTTCTCAGTTCAAATGAACATTAACCAACCTGAAACATAAATAGTCTTTCTCCCCCCGCAAATACGGCCAGACCTGCAGAGTCCATGCTGCGTCCAGATCCTGGAATTCCCTCCCTAAGGACGTTGTGGGTCAACCCACAGCACATGGACTGCAACGGATCAAGAAATCAGCTCACCACCACTTTCTCAGGGGCATCTAGGATGGACTATAAATGCTGACCCAGCCAGGGAAACCCACGCTCCATGTGTGAAGAAATTTTTAAGAAGCAGCATTTCCTGTTTTTATTTAATACTGCCAGCATTGTGCATTTTGCATTGTGCTTCTACAATTTTCTAGGTTGCCTCTAGTGGGCTGACTTTGGCAGCGATCTAATCCAAAGAGAGTGAGATAAACAGAGGACTCATCAAAGACAGCTGAACTTTTAACTTAATTTCTTTAGTTTAAATTAAGAAGAACTTTAATATTGACTATTACCTTATTTTTTACTTTTCTACTTCTTCTATGAAGGTAATGCTTAACTTTTTAATTCTGTTCTTTTACTATGTTGTACCTATGTTTTATATACCTTCGTACCTAAGAAGGCGACATTATATGCTTTTCACTGTACTCCTGCGCTTGAGTACATGTGACAATAAAATCTAAACCTAAATTCCTAAATCAAGAGAGTTTCCAAAGAACATGACTGATACATCAACAATTCCTCACCTTCTTCCTTCAATGCCCTGGGGTAGAAAACAACAGGTCTGGAGATTTGCCTGATTTAATCCTATTAGTTTCTCCATCATTTTTAGAAGCCTCTACTGAATGTACTATGTTCCTCCTTTATCTGGGTGATATTTGCAAGGCTGCTATTTAATAAAGAGATAGTGAGAACTGAAGAAGAAGGGTCTTGACCCGAAACATCAACTTTCCTGCTCCTCTGATGCTGCCTGACCTGCTGTGTTCCTCCAGCTCCACACTGTGTTTTCTCTGCTATTTAATAAATCTACCAGTTCCTGATTTCTGCTATAATATCACCTGCAGCTGTCAATTCGAGGGTTATAACATTCTGAACTACCCTTGACCCCTTGCAAGCTTTTCCTTGCAATTCTTTATTTGTAACTTTGATCGTGTTCTTTCTATCCTTTTACTTAATCATCCTCTATTGGTGGGATCACCATGCTTTGTCTGCCTTCGTCTAACTCCTTTCTTTTAGCTTGTACAAATCTCACTTCTCTCGTAGTTCTTTAGTTATATATGATGAGCTCTTGCCCTTTATGAATGTGTACATATCTCCTGTTCTGCCATGATTCATCTCCAGTTTTATCACACACTCAGACTGATGTGCCAATTGTCACCGTTCTCTGAAGTAAGTTTTAACCTGAATGGAAAGGTGCAGTCTGTGGCTCACCCAACGCCCTGCCGAGCACATTCGATTGAATTCTCTCTGTTAGTTGCACAGGATTACTGACTGTTTCAAGCTCATTACTCCGAAGTAAACCTAATCAGACCCATTATCCTGTCAGTTCAAGAACATATTGTTCAGGAGACTGTTTTAAATACATTCAAGAAATTCACTGCTTCTGGGAGGAGGTCAAACTGTTCTGCTCCACAGCAGCCCAGCTCGGTCCTGGGCAGCCCAGCCCATCACAAAAACCAGCCAGTGACTTCATCCCTTGGGGCGGCATGGTGGCTCAGTGGTTAGCACTGCTGCCTCACTGAGCCAAGGACCTGGGTTCGAATCCACCCTCGGGCGACTGTCTGTGTGGAGTTTGCACATTCTCCCCGTATCTGCGTGGGTTTCCTCCGAGTGCTCTGGTTTCCTCCCACGGTCCAAAGAAATGCAGGTTAGGTGGATTGGCCATGGGAATTGCAGGGATAGGGTGGGTCTAGATGATCTTCGGAGGGTCAGTGTGGACTCGATGGGCCAAATGGCCTGCTTTCACACTGTAGGGATTGTATAAATCAAATCAAAATCTGCTCGTGCAACAGGCTTCCTGTCATCTAGAGCTCTGCAATCCAACTATGCCTCACTTCATTGGCTGCTCACAGTTACTGATTTCCTCCAATGTCCTGTATCAACATTCACTCTCTCTCCAATGTTTAAAGAGGCTTGATCTGACATGTCTTGCAGAGGTTGCCATGGCAGGGTTGTATGGTGTTGTGGTCGATGTTGTCCTGAAGGCTGGGCAGTTTGCTGCAAACAATGGTTTGTTCACACACACACACACACACACGTATAAATCTACAGAGTGGATTTGCAATTGCAGATACATTGTATTTTGTTTAAAAAGCACACAATTTGTAGACAGTCAATGTGGCAGTTTTTCAATTCCTACTTTGGAAGTAAAACAAATCTGACTCCAAGTTGATACACAGCCAGATTCTAAAGAAAGCCTCACACCTAAAATGCATTGTGTGACCTGGGATGTCACCTTTGGTATAGTGATAAAACCTTTAGTTATTTTGGAGTAGTGACTTAAAAAAATTCTGGGATTTGCATATTAATCCATTCTAACTGATTAAAGATTTAACAGCCACCTTAGGTTCGCTCACCACATTCGCATCAGTTCTATGACCCTTTGATCTTTTGCTAATAAATTCTGAAGCCACCTCTGTCACTGATACCTGCAGAAGGAACAAGACTCCGAAAGCTCAGAGATAGCAAGAGCTGCTGATGCTGGAGTCAGAGATGACAAGGTGTGGAACTGGAGGAACACAGCAGGCCAGGCAGCATCAGAGGAACAGGAAAGTTGACCTGAACACTGTCCACGCTGTGTTATCTAAGACTCCGAAAGCTTGTGTTTTCAAATAAGCCTGTTGGACTATAACCTGGTGTTGTGTGATTTTTGACTTTGTCTGACCCAGTCCAACACCGGCACATCCACATCATTTATTCCTCAGAGGAAGGGATAAAGTATCAGCTGCACTTGCTTTAAATGAAGCTTGAAAATAATGCCTAATGACTGCCTTTCTGGATGGAGCTTTGCTCATATCAGGCCGCTGTCTCAATATGATGATTCTTGTTGTGTCAGTCCCTGGCAGTCTGTCTGACCGATTTCCCCAGACTGTGCCTGTTTACACTCTCCCTGGGCTGCGATCCAACCATTGCCTCACTAGGAACCTGTCCTCCCACCGCTTGACCAGTTACTGAGGAGGAGCTGGCAGCCTGGGGGCTCAGACTATCAGCTCAGTGACTACGGTAACCAGGAGAACAAAGAGACTAGCTCTTAGAGACGGCCAACAAACACACACAGACACATACACACAGACACACAGACACGTACACACAGATATACACACACACACAGATATACACACACACACACAGATATACACACACACACACACACACACACAGACACATATACACAGATACTCACACACACACACACACAGACAAGCAAACAGAGAGAGAGAGAGAAGCAAACAGAGAGGGACAAGGGGAGAAAGAGAGAGAAAAGCAGAGAGGAAAGGAGAAGGAAAGAGAGAGAGAAGTAAACAGACAGGGAGAGAGAAGGGGAGAGAGAGAGAGAAGCAAACAGAGAGGGAGAGACAGAAGGGGAGAGAGAGAGAGAAGCAAACAGAAAGAGAGAGAAGGAGGGAGAGAGAAAGAGAGAGGGAAGCAAACAGAGAGAGAGAGAGAGCGAAGCAAAGAGAGAGGTGCCAGAGATAGAGCTTGACCTACCCTGCACCCAGGCATATTCAGCGCCAATCACACCTCTCCATAGGAGCAGTTTCCTACTGAGAAAACGACAGTCTCTATATTAAAGAAAAGCAGGGAAAAAACAGGTAACACTGAGGCAAGAAGAGAGTGGGATATTTCTCAGCTTGGGAGCCTATTGTGTGGACAGTCTGGTTGTGATCTGGTGTTTGTACAACTTCCCTAGGATGTGCGTCCCTATCCAGAATGGCTCGCTGGTGATCGCTGAGCACACGGCTGCTGTTGAGAGGATGGGCACTGAGCCACATTGGGCATTTCTCGAATGCCCGGTTTGTTTCCTGGTCTACGACAATGCCTCCAAGACACCACTACTGCTGCCCTGTGGCCACACCTTCTGTATGGAGTGCCTGGCCAGGATTTGCATCTTCATGAAGCTGGATGACAAGTTTCTGTGCCCACTTTGCCGGACTGTTGTAGCCATCCCACCAGGGGGAGTGCCCAAACTCAAGCCGGACCTGGAGATAATGTCCACCTTTCCCCCGGCACTACAAACCAGGCAGCGAGTCTGGATGGAGGGCTCTCAGCTCTGTTGGCTGAAGGCAGATGAATATGGAGACACGGCGACTGTGGTGATGTTACCATTATTGCCCCATCCCAACCCTGAAATCTTGAATCCTTCGCATCTGGTGAGTGTCCACCACCCACCCCAGATCTCCAGGTATTGGCTTTTCTTCAGTAACTGCTGCTGGGTCAGTATCTTGATCATGGCTGGATTCGTTATGATATTTGGCATCATCTTCTTCCCCATTTATCTCCTCAAAGATCTCTGAAACACTTTATTCAGACTCTTTTCTCGATTCGCCGTAGAGACAGAATGATAATATTATAACATGATAATATTATTTCCCTTCTAACTAACTGTGCATGGATAATCAGGAAAACTCATCATTGTGCCGATTTATATGCATGATTCGAGCCATTTGCTTTTCAGAGGTTCACTTGGGGACTCTTTACAAGAAAATGGTCCATTATTTAATCTATTACCTAGCAGTGTCTGCCATTAATTAGATTGCCCTGTTATGTTTAAATTTATAATTTTTTTGCATGAAGATTGCTTAAACTGTGAGCTGGGAATGTCACTGCGAAGGAAACAGTATCTAAGACCTGAATAAATAAGGCAAGCAACCATATATCGCCTTAAATTACCACATTGAAGGGTCACAAAATTAACCAATGTGAGGACTGAATAGTCTGGGGCTATTTTCTCTGGAGCGTAGGAGGCTGAGGGATGACCTTATAGAGGTTTATAAAATCATGAGGAACATGGATAGGGTGAGTAGTCAAGGTCTTGTCCCCAGGGTAGGGGAGTCCAAAACTAGAGTTGCATAGGTTTAAGGTGAGGGGGGAAAGATATAAAAGGGACCTAAGGGGCAATGTTTTCACGCAGAGGGTGGTGCGTGTATGGAATGAGCTGTCAGAGGAAGTGGTGGAGGCTGGTACAGTTACAATATTTAAAAGTCATGTGGATGAGGGCATGAATAGGAAGCTTTTAGAGTGTTATGGGCTAAATGCTGGCAAATGGGACTAGATTAATTTAGAGTATCTGGTCAGCACGGACAGGAGAAGGGTTTGGTTCCATGCTGAACAACTCTATTACTCTATGACTGAGAAGGAAGTGTACATTAGAGTGGTTGAATTGAATATCAAATCAGGCAGATTAAAGAGGGGGAAGAAAAGATTAGATTGGGGTGAAAGCAGAAAGATACATTAAAAAAGTCATACGAAATGTACATTTTACATTTGTTAAATCACCACCAACAATTAAGATCTGAAAGAGTGAGATGTTCCTAATGGTTAATTTTTCATTGATTGGGAGTGACTAACCATAAGCACGTTGTTAAAATAAACTCAAGCTACAAGATTAAACTTTCTGTGGTTAGTCTCAAATCTGCCCTCCACGCAAATGTGGCAACTTCAAACTATTCAATGCATTTTAATGGTGAGGAGGTTGGGAAATTTTGGTGAAGCTAACAGTAGTGGGGAAAGACCTGGACAGTAATTTTTGGATGTTTGGATTTAACCCTGGATCTGGCCCTCATCTGAAATCGCTGCACTATTTGCACATACATAAACCATGAATAGCTTCCTATTCATGCCCTCATCCACATGACTTTTAAATATTGTAATTGTACCAGCCTCCACCACTTCCTCTGGCAGCTCATTCCATACACGCACCACCCTCTGCATGAAAACACTGCCCCTTATGTCCCTTTTATACCTTTCCCCTCTCACTTTAAACCTATCTTTATTTTCACAGCATATTGTATTCATTGGCTCTGAACACTGTTCCTGACTTCTTCCTTTTTATCTGTGCTGGGGACTTTTAAAATATTAAACACTTGTACATCCTGTATCTATTGCTTGTTTGTGAGCTTGCTTTGATTATATTAAATATGATTGATTTGCAAATCCTGTGGCATGCAGAAAATCTGAATGTGCATACCTTCCTAAAACTGGGGAACTACATGTGACATTAATACCTACATGGAACGTCCTGCAGTCAAGAAAGAAGTCACTTGGTCTATCAAGTCTGCACCAACCCTCCAAACAGCGTTCCACCTGTTCCCATAACCCTATATTTCCATGAGCAATCCATCCAACCTGCGCATCTTTGGACTGTGGGAGGAAACTGGAGCACCCGGAGGAAACCCAAGCAGACACGGAGAGAATGTGCAAACTCCACACAGACAATCGCCCGAGGTTAGAATCGAAACCGGGTCTCTGGTGCTGTGAGGTAGCAATGCTAACCACTGTATCACCGTACTGCCCCATGGTAAACATGAATTACAGATGTTTATATATTCATTTTGAAATTAGTGTTGGCTTAACCAATGGAATGAAAATCCTGACAAATGTTTTTATATCTTGTAGCTTCATAAAAACATTGTTTGAAAAAAATGGTAATTGAAAATTACGACCTGTCTAGAAAGCAGGTGGTGAAGTTAGTTTGTTAATTTTTCTGAGCTGAGCCATGAACCATCATGTAGAAAATTTTAGTGAATCTCTCTGCAAGCATGCTTAGAGCTATAGTGTCATAGAGTTGTATGGCACAGAAACAGACCCTTCAGTCCAACTAGTCCATGAGGACCAGATATCCTAAATTAATCTAGTCCATTTTGCTAGTATTTGGCCCATATCCCTCTAAATGCTTTCTATTCATACACCCATCCAAATGCTTTTTAAATGTTGTAATTGTACCAGCCTCCACCACTTCCTCTGGCAGCTCATTCCATACACGCACCACCCTCTGTTTCAAAACGTTGCCCCTTAGGTCCCTTTTAAATCTTTCCCCTCTCACCTTAACTGTATACTCTCTAGCTTTGAACTCTCCTACCCTGAGGAAAAGACCTTATCTATTCCCTGTATCCATGCCCCTCATGATTTTATAAACCTCTTCAAGGTCACCCTCAGCTTCCAAAACTCCAGGGAAAATAGTTGCAGCCTGTTCAGCCTCTCCCTGTAGCTCAAGCCCTCCAACCCTGGCAACATCCTTGTAAATCTTTACTGAACCCTTTTGAGTTTAACAACATCTTTCCTATGGCATTGTGGGGAAGGGAAGCAGAAAGGGGTCTTTACACCACCTTGTTGAATGTGCAGGACAGAAACACTGATATTGCGACAACACCTTCTGTGGAGAAAGTCTAAATGCAAGTTCAAAGGTGAGTACGTTTACTTTGACACTTCTGCTGGAGAACCAGATTTTTATTCCCTATCATTTGCTCCCAGATGTGATGGAGCTGGAAATCTGATTCTCTCTGATCTTTGTTAATAAAACATACTGCCTCCTGGTTTCTCCAATAAGGGCAGAGGTAACAGAATTTTAAAATAAATGCAGGGTTAAGATTTGAAGCCAGGAGTGTCAAATGAGGTGAATTGCATGTTCAGTGCATTAGCTCAATGGGTGAATGGCCTCCCTCTGTGTTGTGACCGTTCTGTGGTTCAATGATTCCGGTTATAGCCAATGGAATTCTCACTGTTTCCAACATGTCCACTCCCCTTTGTGGTAAACTCCTGAAACGTGACCACCAATCGCTCAAGAATAAACGGTGAAGTCTTCTGTGCTACAATCATTTTGAAAGAAATTCTGAACCTCCTCCATTCAGGGACTGCACTGTCTGGAGCCATAGAGTCATAGAGTAATACAGCATGGAAACGGGCCCTTCGGCCCAAACTGGTCCATGCTGACCATGGTGCCCACTCAGCTAGTTCCAATTGCTGCTTTGGTACATATCCCTCTAAACCCTTCCCATCCATGTACCCATCCAAATGGTTTTTAAATATTGCTATTGTACCTGCCCCAACCACTTTCTCCAGCAGCCCATTCCATATACGCACCACTCTCTGTGTGAAGAAGTTGCCCCTCAGGTCCTTCTTAAATCTTTCCCCTCTCACCTTAAACCTATGCCCTCTAGTTTTCAATTCCCCATCCATGTGAAAACGACAATATGGTCTGAGGAAGGGTCACCGGACCCGAAACGTTAACTCTGTTTTCTCCTCCACAGATGCTGCCAGACCTGCTGAGCTTTTCCAGCAACTTTGTTTTTGTTCCTGATTTACAGCATCCGCAGTTCTTTTGGTTTTTACAATATGCAATCATCCTGTCTATGCCCCTCATGATTTTATACACCTCAATAAGGTCACCCCTCAATCTCCTACATTACAAGGAATAAAGTCCTATCCTGGCCAACCTCTCCCTGTAACTCAGGCCTATTAGTCCTAGCAAAATCCTCGTAAATCATCTTTGCACACATTTCAGTTTAACTATGTCTTTCTTATGACAGGGTGACCAAAGCTGTACACAATACTCCGAGTGCGGCCTCAACAATGACTTCTACAACTGTAACATAACATTCCAACTCCTATACTCAATGCCTCGACCGATGAAGGCCAGCATGCTAAATGCCTTCTTCACCACCCTGTCCACCTGTGACGCCACTTTCAACAAACTATGTACTTGTACTCCTAGGTCCCTCTGTTCCACAATGCTCATCAGGACCTTACCATTTACTGTATAAGTCCTACCTTGGTTTGACTTTCCAAAGTGCAACACCTCACACTTATTTGTATTGAATTGCATTTGTCAATCCTCAGTCCACTTCCCCATCTGATCAAGATCACTCTGTAATTTTTGACATTTTTCCTCACTATCAATGATACTCCATAATTTTTTATTATCCAAAAACTTACTAATCGTGCCTTGTATATTCGCATCCAGATCATTGATGTAAATAACAAATAACAAAGGTCCCAACACCCCCTGCTTCATACCATCGAGTCAGTTTCGAATACAATTAGTAGCTCTCCCTGGATCCCATGTGACCTAACCTTCGTGACCAGCCTGCCGCACGGGACCTTGTCAAAGGGCTTACTAAAGTCCATATAGACAACATCTACTGCCCTACCCTCATCTATCCTCTTGGTTACATCTTCAAAAAGCTTTAAAAAATTTGTCAGAAATGACTTCCCGCACACAAATCAATGCTGACTGTCCCTGATTAGACCTTGACTATCCAAATGTCGGTCAATCTTGTCCCTCAGTATCCTCTCCAATAACTTGCCTAACACTGGTGTCAGGCTCACTGGCCTGTAGTTCCCTGGCTTGTCTTTGCGACCTTTCTTAAACAATGGAACAACATTAGCCACCCTCCAGTCTTCTGGAACTGCACCAGTGTCTAAAGATGAAGCAAAAATCTCTGCAAGATCCTCTGCAATTTCTTCCCTAACCCGATAGCTTAAACCCAATGTACACCTTCTTCTTTTTCCTGACCAGAGCGTCAATATCCCTTGTCAGCCAGGGATCCCTAAACCTGCCAGCTTTTCCCTTCACCCTAACAGGGACATAGTCCTGGGACTCTTGCTATCACACTTTTAAAGCCTCCCATTTGCCAGTGGTCCCTTTTCCTTTAAACAGACTCACCCAATTGACCTCTGCTAGATCCTGCCTAGTGGCCCCAAAATTGGCCCTGCTCCAGTTTAGTACCTTAACCTGTGGACCTGTCCTATCTTTGTCCATAACTATGCTAAAACAGAGAGAGTTAAGAAAGTCTTGGAGTTTTACAGCACAGAAAGAGGCCCTTGATATTCAAATTGGACAAGTTAAGACATGAGAATTGTTCTTGGAAGTGAATCATAAAATTGTGTCCACCATCCAAAGGAACAGAAACCAGGATGAATCAGAGAAGTGAAAACGTAAAAGAGTTGAGATAGGAGTGTAATTTCTCTGGAATTCAGCATCTGTAAAAGGACAGTGTTAGTGTTAAGATCTTTCTAACTGTTGTA